ATGCTGGTAGATTGATTTTTAACAGTCCTAGAAAGTTTTGGAGTTTGATGTATTTTATTAGCATTCTCTATTAGATTCCCCTTCGTAACATTTCTTACTGAAATTGTTGATAAATAATCTTCTTTAATTAACAATTCAAGTTGGATGAGCCTGAGCCTTTTTTTTTTTTTGAGACGGAGTTTCGGTCTTGTTACCCAGACTGGAGTGCAATGGCGCGATCTCGGCTCACCGCAACCTCCGCCTCCTGGGTTCAGGCAATTCTCCTGCCTCAGCCTCCTGAGTAGCTGGGATTACAGGCACGCGCCACCATGCCCAGCTAATTTTTTGCATTTTTAGTAGAGACGGGGTTTCACCATGTTGACCAGGATGGTCTCGATCTCTTGACCTCGTGATCCACCTGCCTCGGCCTCCCAAAGTGCTGGGATTACAGGCTTGAGCCACCGCGCCCGGCCGAGCCTGAGTGTTTTCATGAGCTTACTCATAAAAAGAAGCTGCTTGGTGGGTTTGGGAATCATTCAATTTTATAGATCAAAAAAGCTGTTTTGCCTTAAAGTCCATATTTCCTGAACAAATATATCCTACTTACTGAGAAGCTAAATGAACAGTCACTTGCCAAGCAGACGGTTAAATGGTTCAGAGAAGGAGGCTTCAATCTCCATTGCGATGGACTATAAAATATGTGAAAGTAATGTCTTACTAACAAGAGTTTAAAGATTTATGGTTTGCAAGTGATTTGCCACTTAAAATTAAATAAATTACGTAACTGCATTCCAGTCAACCCCCATTACAACTTCACTGCTTTTCATTCCTCCCTACACTCATTAAAGGAGAAGAGAAAGAGATGGATGATTTCATGGCACTCACATCCTGTAAAAACAAATGGAAAATTAAAATTCCAAACTCTACAGGAAGTATCAGACTTTTCTGAAGATAAATGCCTACACCAAAGAGCAACCAGAAATATAAACCAAAACAAGCCTCTCAAAACAAAACTAGAAATAAACTGCCGACAGGGGCGGGGAGTATAGATGCCATACTTCTTTTCTGTAGTTTCAAACTTTTGTAAAAGGAATATGTATTTTTAAACAAAGTAGCAGAAACCAAATGCCCAACAATTAGGGCAATGCTTTTCAAAATTATGGCTCATTTATTCACGGAGTACTATGCAGCCATCAAAAGCAACTTTTAGGAAGCGTCTAAAATAATACGGAGAAATGCTTAAGATATGAAACATTTGCGACAAGTTGAAAAGAGCAATGAGGGGCACAGAATCTCTCTGAAAAGCCACATAAGAATACAGCAGTGACTGCATCCAGAGAATAAAACCAAAGAGCTGAGGACAGGCCTAGGAGGGAGAATTACATTTCTCTGCACATTTTTTCCTCACGGATCCAACAGCAAAACGTAATTCTGGCAATATGAAGTACTGATGAGAATGTGGACAGAGAAAAACTATTGCACGTTTGGGGGAAAGAAAAAATTCATACAACCAGCTGGAGAACAGGAGCACCCGGGCAAGCTGAGACTGCATTTCTTGACACTAAGATCCTGCAAAGCCACTTCATGATGTCCACTCTGTCACCAGAGAAATGCAAAAGAATGTTCACTGTAGCATTGTTTATCACCACAGAAACATCAAGAACCACCAAATGTCTGTGTGGGCTGAACTGCGCCCTCCCTGAATTCGTATGTTGAAGTTCTAGCCTCCAGGACTTCAGAAGTGACTATAGCTGGAGATAAGGTCTCTGAGTTAAAATGAGGTTATTAGGGTGGGCCTTAATCCAATATGACTGGTGACCTTATAAAAAGAGGAGATGGTCAAGCACGGTGGCTCATGCCTGTAATCCCAGCATTTTGGGAGGCTGAGGCAGGTGGATCACCTGAGGCCAGGAGTTCAAGAACAGCCTGCCTGGCCAACATGGCGAAATCCCGTCTCTACTAAAAATACAAATATTAGCCAGGTATGGTGGCAGGTGCCTGTAATCCCAGCTACCTGGGAGGCTGAGGCAGGAGAATCACTTGAATACAGGAGGCAGAGGATGCAGTGAGCCAAGATCACACCATTTCACTGCAGCCTGAGTGACAGAGCAAGACTCTTTCTCAAAAAAAAACAGAGAGAGAGATTAGGACAAGACACGCAGAGGGAAACCATGTGAGGACACAGCAGGGAGTACAGCCATAAGCCTCAGAAGAAACCAAATGTGGATCTCAGACTTCTAACCTCCAGAACCGTGACACAATGTGCTTCCACTGTTTCAGCCATGCAGCCTGTGGTACTTGGTTATGGCAAGGCTAGCCAGCTAATACAAAGTTTATCGGGAGGAGCAGAGATGAATACTTTCTTGGTTATAGACAATGAGACACCACATAGTCTCTAACAGAACCACTGACTACGCAAAGCTGTAAAAGATGCAAGTCCAGTATGGACCCCAAGAAATGGAGAGCTCCCAGGCACTTCATTCCAGCATGCTGGACCTACCCCACCCGAATCCTAGAGGCCCAAAGAACTTGATCAAGCACTGCATTCAAGGGAAAGCCTGGACTTTAACGAACTGGAAAATAGCCACTGGCTCATTTTTGCTAGGGCCATTTCTAGTACTGATCACTAAATGCAGGGGCCAGAATGCCAAACTTGACCCACCTGTCCAGGACAGCTCCTCTTCATTATCCCAGAGAAACAATACTGCCGTGGCGAAGGGAATTCATTCATTCCCTCATTTGTTCAACTGATATTGATTCCATTCCCTTTTGAGTCAGAGCCTTGCTGGTAGTGAAGAAATGAAGAACCACAACTTAGAGTAGTTGTCAGGCTCCTGACAGTCTTGTTGGGGAAGGACAAATGACACCAAGCTAATCACAACACAAGGTATTTTTGGGGATCTATGAGCAGAAGCCAGAAGTGAGAGGGACTTCACAGGAAAAGCAGCATCTTGAACAGAACATTTTCTCTGTCTAAACGGCCTGCTGTCCTTTTTGCTTTGGGAAGTGTCTATTCAAAAAATGTGTTTCTTTTAGGCAGCAGAACTTACAGGTACAAATGCACCAAGTCACAAACCCTGGCTGCACATGGAGCAGCTGCCTTCCTGAAAGGAGGGCCAGGAACCCAGGCTGTTGAGGGTGGAAGGGAAGGGCATAGGTTTTATGGTGTAGACAGCAGGAAGGGGTCAGCCTGAAGGGCTCACCAGGAAGAGTCCCAGGCAGCAGCGTGGAGGACTGGAGGGAAAAGGTTACCAGTGACCACGCAGAAAACTTGTCCCAGCATCTGGTAGCTTTTCCAGGCCAGTGCACACAGAGACAGTTGCAACCTGGGACTGCAGCTGGAAATGCTGAAAGGTCATTTTGCCTGTCAAGCAGACAATAGAGCGAAAGAAGGCCCGGGATGAATGGACGATTGATTGTAGCCAGCAACTGCTTAGACAGTGTAAATTTTAATACCACAAGTGCTTATCCCATATGAATTTTCTTTGTTGGAGAACAAAAGGGGCCATTGGATCCTGAGGGCCATGTGGATACAGAGAGGGCTTTTTTCTAGAAAATTGTTCCCCATCTGCCTCCACAGGTTGGATCAGCAGTTACAATAAGTCTGTCAGTGATGCTGCCTAGGATTGGAGGCTGACGCACACTCATGGAGCGCAGGCTCACAGGTCCCCAGGACACACCCACCTCACCAAGACCCGCATTTTCAGGCCTAAAGAGGGGTGTTCTCATCTGTGAAAATGTCCCAGGAAATACAGAGAGCTCCTCTGAGACCACTGTGCTGGGTACTTTTTAGTGTCTATTTCTGGACCCTACACCCTGGTGGGTTAAGAAAATGGGCTTCCACCTGCATCTCTGCTACAGAGGTGATCTGTGATGCCCTGGGCAAGACATTAAACCACCCTGCCCACCTCCAGCCTCAGTTTCCTCAAATGTAAAAAGTAAGATGAAGCCAGTACTTCCAAATCTGGCTGCATATCAGAATTTGTGGGAAGCTCATTAAGAATTCTGATTCCCAGGCATGGCTCCAAACCAACTGAATCAGAGTATCTGGGGAATTGGACCCAGGAGTCTATTTGCAATCGAATACCTGTGAAGGATCTGTGTATCCCTAAGGTCTCCTGCTTTGTAAGATGCCCCTGGAGTTAGAAATTCAAATAGTAAAGAACATAGCACCATCTCCAACCCCATGGCTAGTATTTTGTATTTCTGGAGATTGATTCTTGAGGGAGGCTTAGATTACTGCTGGGCATATCTTAGTCTGTTCTCTTCTCTCCTCCCAATGTCAGCTAAACTGGAAATAGGTTTGGTTCTCTTTGTTACGATGAAATGTGTCTTCAGCTATGGTGGTAAGAGGGGGACATTATGCAAGAGTCCAGGAATTCTCACCTTCCTATTCTTTTTTTTTTTTTTTTCTTTCCGAGACAGAATTTTGATCTTGTTGCCAAGGCTGGAGTGCAATGGCACAACCTCAGCTCATGGCAGCCTCCACCTCCCGGGTTCAATTGATTCTCCTGCCTCAGCCTCCTGAGTAGCTGGGATTACAGGCATGCGCCACCATGTCTGGCTAATTTTGTACTTTTAGTAGAGATGGGGTTTCTCCATGTTGGTCAGGCTGGTCTCGAACTCCTGACCTCAGGTGATCCACCCACCTCGGCCTTCCGAAGTGCTGGGATTACAGACATGAGCCTCCATGCCCAGCCATACTTCTATTCTTAAAGGTCTCCCTAACCAGGCCACCCACTGGGAATTTTCTTTCTCCTCAGGCTGCAAATTTCTGCCATCTCCTTATTCCACTGAGTAGTCTGTGCCCAATTTCCCCAAAGTTTACATATACCAGCTACTTAAAAATCTAGGCCAAACTTTGCATATCTGAAAATGCACTAAAAGAAGCATATTAAAGAAAAGGTCTTTTAGGCACACAGAGCAGTCACAGACATTCCAAAATACCTTCTTTTTGATGTAAACAATTTAGCTAGGCTCTCACCTCCCCATTCCACTGGGATATCATCACCGTCAACCTAATGGGCGTAGCAACATTAGGACAAAAACACTTACATGCATACATACATTGTATTTTACAGAGATACAATAAGTGTTTGTGATAGAGTATCACAAAAGCCACATCTCTTTCCTTTATCTCATGTTCAGTTTTGATTGAAACACATTTCCTTACAACACTTAAATATACAAAGAGCAAATAGAATGTTGTTAAGGTAAAACACAGGGTACAAACTCTGGCCAGTGCCCTGCTAATTGTTAATGAGGGTAGAAAGCAGATTTGAATGCTTCTTTTAATTAGCTTCATTAGTCATTTCCCTCCCCCCCCAGTTCCCCCCCCACAAGATGTCCTCTGGTGGATCTTTTTTCATTTTCTCTACAGTCTCCCATTAGCCCAGGTTCATGGAGTCCTTAATGTTCATATTCAGTCATTTTAATACACCAATAAATGCGGGAAGGGCAATCAAGACTAAAGAAGGTGCAATGGCATGGAGCTGGCACTGGTGCTAGCTACAAAGGTGACTTGTCTACTGAAGACACATGGGATCCACCTGTGATGAACAAATCTGAGATGAAGGCACGCATTCTGCATTACTCTGACCTTTTAGCAGACCTTCTGGTCTGGCAGTAGAGGATTGCTCTGAAGTGAATTCAAATGGCCATTGATGAGAGCTGTAGGTCTATCATGTTCACAAAATAAACTGCCATTGATGTAGTGAAACCGATCTCCCGGGACCAGGCGATTCCGGCAGGTAGAGCATGTAAAACACTTAAGATGATACACATTGCCTTGCGCCCTCATGACCAGTTCGCTCGCAGGAATCGACTGTCCACAAGCGCTGCACGCACCGCTATTCCCAAGGGGTATGTGTATGCATCTCCAAGCTCACCAACCACTGCCGCGTCCACTCGCGCGAGCGGCCGCACGCCTGCCCCGAATGCGGCAAGAGCTTCATCCGCAAGCACCACCTCCTGGAGCACCGGCGCATCCACACCGGCGAGCGGCCCTACCACTGCGCAGAGTGCGGCAAGCGCTTCACGCAGAAGCACCACCTGCTGGAGCACCAGCGCGCGCACACCGGCGAGCGGCCCTACCCCTGCACGCACTGCGCCAAGTGCTTCCGCTACAAGCAGTCGCTCAAGTACCACCTGCGGACCCACACGGGCGAGTGAGCGCGCGCCCCGCCGCCGCTGCCCGCCAAGGTGCGGGCTGAATCCCCTTCGGACACCGCCAGGCCCGAGCCCAACGGGCAGGGGCGGGGCGCCCCCCAGCCCCTTTACTGTGAGCTCCCCTCTCCTTTCGTCCCTCCTCCAAGGACATGGGGGCTGTGAGACCAGGTCCCTTGCTGGTGCGTTTCCCTGGTGCCCCGGGGGGGAGGGCGCTGACCTGGGGAACCCTTTCGGGCTGTTAATTTCCTTGACAATAAAATGGATGAAACCAAAAAAAAAAAAAAAATTGAAAAGGCAAGGGCTAAGCAAAATGCCATGAAACTGGGTTAAACATTGTGTATTGTTTTAATTATTATGTACATTTTCCTAAAAAAAAAAAACTATTAAAAAATGCTTACTATAGATCTGTTCTAGATGCTTCTCATGCTCTTAAGCTATAAACTGGCTGGTATGAAAATCCCACTTCCTACATCTAGAAACTTAAGCTTTTAGAGCTTAGAATCTAGTGTCGCATGATACGAGTGGAAGAACCAGGATCTGCACCTGAGGTCAGCTTCCAAGACCTGTCTTCCACTCTTGACTCAGCTTCCCTTGACTAATAGGAATGTTGAAACCAGCAAGAAGATTTTGTACTGAAATTATGTTCTAGCGACTGTAGGCCTATGCCCACGTATTTTCAGCAGCTGCAGAAAATTGACTCTGGGATTTTTGTTTGTGATGCTCACAGCATGTAAGCATCTCCTAATGATAGGGATGCATACACATGTTAAGGTTATGGTAACACAACCATTAACCCACGTTGCTATCAGTCACACCGTTCCCCTGAGAAGAGGGAATGGTGACCATCAGCATTCTTTTTTTTTGAGACAAAGTCTCACTCTGTCACCCAGGCTGGAGTGCAGTGGTGCAGTGGTACAATCTCAGCTCACTGCAATCTCTACCTCCCAAGTCCAAGCAATTCTCTGACTCAGCCTCCAGAGTAGCTGGGATTACAGGCACCCACTACCATGCCCGACTAACTGCCCACTGGAGGGCAAATCTGTCTCCCCACTCCTTGCGTGTTTTGCAAGTCTCCACATGACAAGGCCAGCCAGTGTGCATTTGGAAACCACTAGACCAGGTAAGTGCAGGAGTTACTTCCAGCTTTAAAACTCTGTCTCTTTGAAAATGAGCATGCTCTGCACCAGGCGGTGAGATGGACTCTGCAGTTAGCAAAACCAGGATTCCAACCTCAGCTCCTCCAGTAAATAGCTGGGTGACCTTTGACAAGTTACATGCTACTCACTTTCACAGACTGTGTTAGGAGTGCATGTGAAAGTAGCTGTCGATAACTGTTGGTTTTGTCTTAGCACAGAGTAAGTAGCGCCAGATAATTTTAGGACATTAGGCAAAGCTCACACAGGCTGCACCTTCTCTAGCAAATACCTTTCCTCTGGAGCTTCATGAAGTCATTCACTAAGCCTGGAAACCTCACTAAAGATCTCTCTGAAGGGGGACTGGCCACCCTGCTACCCCTATAGCCAACCACGAAAGCTCAGTCTCCTCCATTGGGTAGCTACTGTACTGACTGGCAGTGAGCCATTGCAAGGTCAATACCCAATTTCAGGATGAGTGCAAGTGCCAATTAAAACAATGAAAAGGGCTGGCAGCTGAACTGGCAGGAATGGTGGTCTTCTGCCCTGACTCCTGGCCCTCCTTCAGCAGCTGAACATTAAAAGTTTGACAAGCCGGCTCCCTGTGAGCCCACTTCCATGGGAGAGGGAAGGTGGAAATGTCAAGTGGATGGGGAAGGACAGGTGGGAACCCCAGGAGGAAGGGGTTCTCTGATGGTGGAACACTTCCTCTCTCATTGTTTTGTGTGCCCTAAAATGAGGTAGGTGGCCATGGGATCATTGAATTTTCTTTCTGTGATTGACACAAAGATGTTCTTGGCCTGGAATCCCATGGCCACCATGAGCTGGATTGTTTGGGGATTGGGTGTCCTAGGAATGGCTCTTTGTATGGTATCAGTGGCTCTTCTGGTTGCTTTTCACCCATGGATTTTTCATCAGTTACAGTGAAGGACACTCCCTGGTGTCCAGCGTTTGTAACTTTCGAATGAGTCAAGTTGAAGGGAAGCAAGTGGTGGGCAAGGTATCTTTCTGGGAGAAGTAGTTTTTCTTGAAGTCCAGAGGATTCCCTGAGTAGAAGGTCATAGCCCCAGCCCTTCTACATACTGTATTCCTGGAATACAGCCTGGCACTGGGGCTTCATATGTGCATGGCAGGTCATCCACACACCTGGCCCAGGGAGTGTTCTGGGGCTGCACAGGGGTACACAGCACACAAGGCTGTCAGCATCTGCCCCTCTCTGAACATTGGACTAAAGCCAAAGTTCACAATTTACACATTGCCTTCTTCATTGGGTAGGGCGTTTTGTGGCTTTAGGTCTGGATGTGTGATGTTCTTTATGTTTCAGCACTGCAGGGCTGATAGAACTTGCCTGAACATGGTCTGGACAACCTCTCCCTCCTCCCTCCTCCCTTTTCCCTCCTCCCTCCTCCGTCCTCCTCATCCTGGATGTGGCGTATCTAGTGGTGCAGCTCTCCTCCTCTGGTTACTCCATCACCACATAGATGATGTTAATCAGCTGGCAGAGCTGAATAATATTTGGGTGATGGAGAATCTTTATGATACTCACCTCTCTCTCTGTAGAACAAGGCCAGCCTTCTTAGAGATGATTTGGATGGCAACCTGGGTCCCAGTTAACCTGTGCTGGGCCAGCTCCTTCATGGATGTTAATAACTAAGAAAGCCAGGGCACACAGCTATTTTGGCCAGTACTAACAGCAGGCAAGAAAGACAGGCTCCCCTATTTCTCTCCTCTTTTTCCACTCTGTTGGGGGAACTTTCCTGCTGCTGCTTTTACAGCCTCATCTAATCTTGCTTTGTTTTGGTCACACAGGGGCATGGCCACTAGCTTCACTGGCCCATTCACTTATCTCATCTCTCTTTTTTTTTTCTTTGAGATGGAGTCTTGCTCTGTCTCCCAGGCTGGAATGCAGTGGCATCATCTTGGCTCACTGCAACCTCCATCTTTCAGGTTCCAGAGATTCTCACATCTCAGCATTCCAAAGTAGCTGGAATTACAGGCGTGTGCCACCATGCTTGGCTAATTTTTTTTTTATTTTTATTTTTTAGTAGAGACAAGGTTTCACCTTGTCCAGGCTAGTCTCTCTTCTTTTTTTTTCAGGCTAGTCTTGAACTCCTGACTCAAGTGATCCTCCCGACTTGGCCTTCCAAAGTGCTGAAAGGTATGAGCCACCGTGCCTGGCCCGAAATCTAGGAATGTTTTTAAAGCTCCCTGGATAATTTCAATGTATAGACAAGACTGATAACTGGGCCAGGTGTGGTGGCTCATGCCTGTAATTCCAACACTTTGGGAGGCTTACACGAGCAGATTACTTGAGCGCAGGATTTCGAGACCAGCCTAGGTAATATGGCAAAAACCTAACTCTACATGATACATGCCTGTGGTACCAGCTCCTCAGGAGGCTGAGGTGGAGGATCACTTGAGCCTGGGAGGTTGAGGCTGCAGTGAGCCATTGGCTTAGAAGAGGTAGGCAGACAAGTGAACAGGAGTCAAGGAAGTCTTATTGAGAAGGAATATGGATAGACATTGCAGAAGGAGGAGGGAGGCTGCCAGAAAGGAGAAAGTACAACATTTTATGTAGGGATGAGAATAGTAAAAGGACTCTGCAAATAGCTGTGGCTTATTTTTTTATTTTTATTATTTTTATTAAGAATGGAGTCTTGGCTGGGCGCAGTGGCTCAAGCCTGTAATCCCAGCACTTTGGGAGGCCAAGGTGGGTGGATCACGAGGTCAAGAGATAGAGACCATCCCGGTCAACATGGTGAAACCCCGTCTCTACTAAAAATGCAAAAGATTAGCTGGGCATGGTGGCGCGTGCCTGTAATACCAGCTACTCAGGAGGCTGAGGGAGGAGAATTGCCTGAATTTAGGAGGCGGAGGTTGCAGTGAGCCGAGATCGCGCCATTGCACTCCAGCCCGGGTAACAAGAGCGAAACTCCGTCTCAAAATAAAAGAATGGAGTCTCACTCTATCACCCAGGCTGGATTGCAGTGGTGTGATCTCATCTCACCACAACCTCCTCCTCCTGGGCTCAAGTGATTCTCCTGCCTCAGCCTGGGATTGCAGATGTACACCACCATTCCTGGTTAATTTTGTATATTTAGTAGAGACAGGGATTCATCATGTTGGCCAGGCTGGTCTCAAACTCCTGGCCACCATGTTGCCTAGGCTGGTCTCAAACTCCCAGGCTCAAGTGATCCGCTGGCCTCAGCCTCCCAGAGTGGTTAGGATTATAGGCGTGAGCCACCACGCCGCACCCTTGAACTTCTTTTACAAGGGCATTAATCTCGTCAAGAGAGTGGAGCTGTCATGAGGGTGGAGTGAACTCCTTTGCCTCTTTCACCTTGTAAGCACACAGCAAGAGTCGCCTTAATATGCATTCACAGTTGACAACCATTGCTTCCCAAAGGATGGTCTCTAGACCGGCAACATCAGCATCACCTTCCGTAAGCATCTACTTAATAGTATCACTTCCCATAAGCATCTGCTTAATAGTATCACATTGGGCATAAGAATTCTGGGGGGACACCAACATTGTTGGTGGGGACAATCGTTGAATGTTGGGGACACCAGCATTCAAACCATAGCAGTATAAATACATGCATGTACATACAAATAGGTATGTATGTCTTATTTCCCATATCTGATTCTTAGTGGGGGAACACTTACCTCTCCTCCTCTGCTATTTCTTTCCATGATGGAGGCAGCTCAATCTGGTCTCTCTGCCCTTTTATTCTCTCTGTCCGTGGTCAGGGAGGAGAGATTTACCTAATTGGTGCATTTAGGAAACTGGGTTTGCTGAGCTCTACTTTTCCCACATTCCTCTTGAATCTGAGCTGCTTATACCTTATGTCCACACGGGCCAGCAGCAAAGGGAGGTCCACCCTAGTTGCTTCAACGTAGGTCCAATCAATAGGCCTGACTAGCCGCACATGACCAAATTCTTGAGGTCATGAGTATGTTTGTGAGAGGGATAGTTAGGGTGCCTAAGAGTCCATGGTAAAGAATACAGTTCCTTTCAGTTCTGAAAAATTTGGAGTAGAGGGAAGAAATGGTGGTTAAGTTCCTGTCTGCAATTCAGCTCTGGGTTTGAATTCTAACCAACTTGGTTGAATCACTTCATCTCTCTAAGCCTCTTACTGATGTTTAATACAGTAATAATAAATTTATTATTACTAATAATAATGCATAATACGTCGACCCTCAAACAACATAGGTTCGAGCTGCACAGTTTCACTTATATAAGGATTTTCTTCCACCTCTACCATTGCTAAGACAGCAAAACCAACCTCTCCTCTTCCTCCTCCTCAGCCAACTCAATGTGTAGACTGCAAGGATGAAGAGCTTTATAATGACCTACTTTTGCTTAATGAATAGTAAATATATTTTCTAGTCTTTGTGATTTTCTTTTTCTTTTTGAGTCTTGCTGTGTCACCGGGCTAGAGTGCACGATCTTGGCTCACTGTGACCTTCAACTCCTGGGTTCAAGTGATTCTCCTGCCTCAGCCTCCCAAGTAACTGGGTCTATAAGTGTGTGCCACCACTCCTGGCTAATTTTGGTATGTTTTTGTAGAGATGAAGTTTCACCATGTTAGTCAGGCTGGTCTTGAACTCCTGACCTCAAGTGACCCACCCACCTCAGCTTCCCAAAGTGCTGGGATTACAGGCATGGGTCACTGCACCTTTAATACTTATATTAAAATAAAATACATTTATTTTAATATAAGGGAAGGAAGTAGGTAGCAGGATTGGTTTCATTCAATTCATTTTCACTTGATTTGGAAAAGAGTCTGAGTTTGATTAGAAAGCCCGAGCCACCACAAGTGGCATGGAATATGGGATTTATTGTAGAAGTTAAATATCAGGCAATTGTGGCAGCTGACAGGGCAGCCCGAGCAGGCTGCTGTTTTCATGCCTAGCATTGAGCCTACAGTTGCTCTAACAGCAGTTGGGAAGGAAAGTTGGACGTGAACAAGAGCAAGGGAGAACTGGAAACTGCAAGGGCAAACTAGGACCAACAAAGACAACTAGACCCTGCAAAGACTAACCGGAACCACTTTTCCCTTTCCCCACTTCCAACCCTGATACAGTAGAGAATTTGTAGAAGAAGCTTGTGCCAGGCTGGGCGTGGTCACTCACACCCAACACTTTGGGAGGCTAAGGCGGGCATAGCACCAGAGTTCAGGAGTTCGAGATCAGCCTGGCCAAATAGTAAAAATACAAAATTTAGCTGGGCACGGTGGCACATGCCTGTAATCTCAGCTACGCAGGAGGCTGAGGCAGGAGAATTGCTTGAACACGGGAGGCTGAGGTTGCAGTGAGCCAAGTTCACGGCATTGCACTCCAGCCTGGGCAACAAGAGTGAGACTCTGTCTCAAAAAAAAGAAAAAGGACCCTTTCTTCCTCCTCCTCCTCCCTCTACTCCCCCCTCCTTTTCTCTAAAAAAAAAAGAATAATAAGAAGAAGGTGGTTATGCCCTTCACTATGGAGCTGACCATGCACTCAGTCCAGGAGCTGAAGAAACTGATGGGTGAGATCTGGCAGGAGCTGCAGTGTATTCATTTCCTAGGGCCGCCATAACAAAGTACCAGAGAAACTGGGAGTCTTCGACCACACGTAGTTAGTCCCTCACAGTTCAGGAGGCCAGGACTCCAAAAGCAAGGTATTGGTTGACCCATGTGCCCTCTTAGGGCTCTGAGGGAGAGTCCTTTCCAGCTTCAGGTAGCAGTGGCAATCCTTGGCCTTCCTTGGCCAAGCTGCATCCGTCCAATCTCTGCCTCCACAGTCACGCAGCCTTCTTCCCTGCATGTCTGTGTCTCTGTGTCTTCACATGGCCTTCTTATAAGACCACTAGTCATGGGATTTAGGACCTCCCATAATCCAGCATGACCTAATCTTAATATAACTAATTACAGTTGCAAAGACTCTATTACCAAATAAGGTCACATTCTGAGGTTACTGGTGAAGGTGAATGTTGACGGGATGACACTGCTCGGCACAGTACATGGGGGAACTGTGGTTTGGGGTGCTTTCCTGTGCCTATGAGGTGAGCTAGCTGTAGAGTAGTGACAATATGCCTGACCTCCACCAGTCACTAAAACATTTAAAAAAATGGCAGCTGCTTTATTTCGACCTCCCCAATATCATCCAACATGTCTTTATTGGCCAGTGCTGATCCAGAAACACACAGGAAAGGAAATATTGGGAAATTCCAGTTTCACCAAATTGTTATAGTACATGGCCACTACACAGTGAGAGTCACTGAAAAATATTTTTTGAACAGGAAAACAACTTGATGGGAACATTGTTTTAAAAATGTTGATCTGGGGCCGGGCGCAGTGGTTCACACCTATAATCTCAGCACTTTGGGAGGCCGAGGCGGGTGGATCACCTGAGGTCAGGAGTTCGAGACCAGCTGACCAACATGGTGAAACCCCGTCTCTACTAAAAATACAAAAATTAGCTGGTGGTGGTGGGCTCCTGTAATCCCAACTACTAGGGAGGCTGAGACAGGAGAATCCCTTGAACCCAGGAGGTAGAGGTTGCAGTGAGCCGAGATTGCGCCATTGCACTCCAGCTTGAGTGACAGAGCAAGACTCAATCTTAACAAAAAACAAAAATATTGATCTGGCAGCAATGTG